TGGATCTCTGTGAGTTCAAGGCCATCCTGGTCTACATAGTGAGCTCCAGGCCAGCTGGGGCTACAGGAAGACCCTGTCTCAACAAGACAAAAAAAAATATTAAGGAAACACAAAAAAAATGTTAAATAATAGTTTTAATTTTAGGGGAAATTGAACATGTGTGTGAGCTATAATTGGTATATAAGGTAATTACTTGCACCTCTGGCCTAAATTAAGGTTGTAGTAACTAGGTAGATGAGGAAACAGAGGAAGAAGGAAAAGTATGTATTTTGTGCTTAAGATATGAGAACCACAACAACTACAACTGCATTTTCTCTACTTGTTTACTATGTGTTCATGAATTCTTTTTAAAAATATTTTATTTTTATTTTATGTGTATGAGTGTATTGCCTGCATGCATGTAAGTGCACCCATGTTGTGCAATGCCTGCGGAGGTCAGAGAGGGCTTCGGATTCCCCTGAAACTGTAGTAATGGAAAGTTGTTAGCTGCCATATGGGTGCTTGGACTCAAACCTGGGTCCTCTGCAAGAGTAGCCAGTGTGCTTAACCACACTGAGCCATCTCTCCAAACCTGCTTTCATGAATTCTGAAAGTATTTTACAAAATTAATATATTCCTCACTCCCATTTTATTAAGTAGTTCCTATCACTATCTTCAACTAACAGAGAATATTCAAATGCAGAGTTTAAATAATGTAACCAAGATAATGACAATGGCATGTTGTAGGCCCAGGGAAATGGATAGAAGTCTTGAATGAGCAGTGGGTAAGTCTAAGGGTGAAAAATGCTGAGGTGGTGGACAACAAAATGTCAAAATGCTAGTGATTTCAAATATCTGAATTAGGCTCCAGAGTTACATTATTGCTCCTTAAAACTCTCATTTGAAGGCTAGGGATATAGTAGAACACTTGCTTAGCATGTGCAAGAACCTGAATTCAATTCCAACACCACAAAAAAACCCAAATTCACATTCCATTCTTAAAATCTTAAATACACAGACAACACCTTTTACTATATTACATAGAGCATCTAGTGTGTTCCAGACATTTATATCTAGCGTCCTGCCTCATTACTTTATATTTCTCCCCTTTAGATACACAGCAACATTAGTGCAGAACAAAGTACTTCAAATAGCAAAAAACGATGACACCCTTCACTTATACATTATTCATCATCACAAATTACTGTGTCATTTTAGAAACAAGAAAACAGGCTAGATAATACAGTTGTGTTGGGGTTAGTAAACAGATCAGAAATATGGCTTCTAGTTATAAAATCTAAATAAATAACATCAGTATATATAAGTCAGAAAGAAAATCAAACATGGTCTCACATTGTCTTTGCATCAAAAAATGACACCACAAAACTACTAATTTATTCATATCCTACTTAGTAGCTAAATTGCAACCATACCAAATGGTCATTTAGGTCAATTGCCTCAATCAGGGTTTTCATCACTTACCCAAAATTTTATAACAAGGCTTTAGACAATATTCTACAATATTCTGCAAACTATGTACTAAGTGTTTACAAGGGAAAGGTGATTAGGTAAGTAACTACGAAGACTGAAGATAAAATACCATCAAGTGCCTCAGTCTGAAAGAGGTTGGGGGCTTAGTTATGATTATAAATAACAAAAATTCAGGACAGAGTATTATAATTTCCAGAAAAGGAACAGTGATATGGGGCTTCAAATGAGTATTTATGGATGCAAAGGACAAGGAACTTTTCACAGAAGTGACTTTGTAGGTGGGCCTAATGATGGGTAGGGCGCTATAAGTACTGTACAGGGAAAACAAGTACATTATAAGACAGTTTAATTGTCTTACAGCAGAACACACAGTGATATCTGAACAATAGCTGGAGATAAGAAAAATCTTCTGTGGAGCCCAGGGACACAAGTAGAGCATAAGGATGATTAGGAATTGGGTGGGAAAATAAAGAAAATAACTGAAAAACAGAAGATAGAAAATGAGCTTTAAAAAATTCTCAGTGGTTATGATGGTTCATGCCTGTAATTCCAGCACCCAGGAGGCTGAAGCAGAATTAAAAGTTCAAGGCCAGCCTGCGTATATACCAAGACCCTGGCTCCATTGTTTTATTCCAAGCACATGCCAGACTCTATTTTCAATGCCCTGTACTACAAAAGTATTTTTTCAATGCATAACATCTAATATATATGTGTGTGTGTGTGTATGTATGTATGTAGGTGTGTGTGCGACTTATGTGTCTAAAGGTAGTCTTTTCTTCATTCAACAGTTTCAAACCATAAAGTACAAATGACTCAAGGTGAAGGTAAACATATAAATGTATCTAACAATAATAAGCAAGCGTGAGAAAGGATGAGTAATCTCCATCCATCTCCTCACACTAGAAACAAGCATTCTGGAAAGACAAATGATATCCAGACTAGGCTTGGTATCTTGGCAATAAGAAACCAGATAGCAGAAACACTAAGAACCCCATCTCCAAAATGTATATACTATAAAAATGAGGGTGATTGTGGTGATCTGAGTATGTCTTTTTTTCTCTCTAATTTTCTTTCATATATATTTGGAAAACTTAACAGGAGAGTCATATAGCACTCTAATGCTGCGAAAGTAGAGCCATTATTCAGTTTGGACTTGAGAACAGACTGGGTAGATGCATTATCTCTCTCAAAAGCCCCCCCCAAAACTTTGAAGAATAGGATGAAGTCATTTATGGACCTTGTTGTTCAAAGGTCTTTCTTGTCACATCACCTTGGTTAAATTGCCCAAAGAATGAGAAGACAAGCATATTAGTGGCTTTTTCTTTAGGTGATAAAATTCAGTGAGAATGTTAAATCACAAACAAAACATACATTCCACTCTCTGCCTTTGAGCAACCTATTCAAACTTCACAGGCTTTCTTTCATTTCATCTAAAATGTGTTTTAAGGAAGCCCCAAACTGAGAAGGAAAAGAAAGTGAAAGAATAAGTAACAGCTTATGTCATACACAGTTTTTGAATAAGAATTACTAATAGGCATTCTATAGAGAATAAAACTCATGTCCAATGGTCACACAACTAGTTAGCGGTGGTAGTGGAGTTCAAAACAGAGCTTTTTGTTACCCCAAACCAAGTCTCTTCAGTTTAAAATCCAAATTTACAGATTATTCTTTTTTTTCTGTTATTACATTGAGTGACCTACAGGTGCTTTATAAATGTTTCTTTTCATAATGAGGGTAATATTAGAGAAAACAAGGTATTTTTCCTTTGGCCCCCCTTTAGGGTGTGACTTAGTTTCCTCAAAATTCTTAAAGTTTTTTTTTTAAGTCTACAAAAAGCTTCACAAAGTAGCTGAGCAAGTCCATTTGCTCCACTAATAAGCAGTGCAGGCTGATGTCCGCCTCCAGGAACCCTTGGCCAAATCTTCAAAGGCCTGTACAGAACCTAGGGTTTGGCTTCCTCCAGCAACCAAGCTCAGTCCTTCTCTAAAGAACTGGCACGCCCTAAGCAGCGCCACCTAGGAGGCTCCTTGCAGGGTCTAAGCAATCAGTGTCAAGAACAGACCAGGTTACCAACTTAACCTCTTGCTCCCTCCTCCCTCTTTTCAGAAGCATCTCTAGGTACCTGCTACAGCTTGGAGGAAGAAGGTGTGTGATCTACGTGGCCTTCCGAATGTTCTGTCTCGCTGAAGAGTTTTTATATGTGTGGCTAAGAATAACCTTACCACTTAAAGCAGGACTGAGAGCACTGGGCCAGTACAGCCTGAACTGTACAAATCTATGCATTCTTGACCCCTTTCACTTCTTCCACGAGGCCTCTTCAAAAGCACCCCTTCTCTTAACATCTTTTTGCATAAACCTTTACCAAAGTCATTTTCCCTTGAGTTTAATTTGATTCCACATAAAGCTGTTACCTTTCCTCTCCCCCACCCATCCTACCCAAAGCCAAGTGGGTGTGTGCGTTTGGGGTTGGGATTAGAACCTAGAATGGTAAGCTTGAGGGCGGGTTCTGATTCGAGTCACTTACCACCCATGTCTCTAGTTGAGGACTCCTCAAGTGTCCGGAGCTCACGCAGTCCTTTCGGAGGCTCATACTCCAGAGCTGATCTTAAGACAGCTGTTCCCCTCACACCCGCCCATGTCTGACAGCGCGCCCAGCAAAGCGCTTTCGCCTTCTCTTTCTCGGTCCCCCACCTCCCAGTTTCCTCCTGGATGGAAAATGAGGGGGAAGAAGTAAAGGTAGGGAGTCGATTCAAACCCAGCTGGGCTACCCTCAAAACAAGGGAAACAAAGCTTTCCAGCATCCAAGCCCCGAATCCGGGCCAGCTGAGCAGAAGTCCTAAAATGAATCCTCCCACTGCAGCCTTTTCCTTGGCTAAAAATGCAGTGGCTTCTCTGGGGCGATATGGCAGGCATTGAAGCTACTCCGTTCCCCTTTTACCTCCACCGACTCAGTTCCGGCCAAGCCCATTCTCCACCCAGCCTCTGAACTCCTCACACCGTCGAGGAGAGAGGCAAGCTGGGGGCCCAGCAAATCACCCAAACCTCAGAGCACGACTTGAACGCAAAGTTGAGGCGAAGGAGAAGGAGTCAGGGAAGACTAGCAGACACGGCAAGAGTATCCCCCCGCCCCCCCTCCCCACCGCCGCGCCGAGCGCCACACACCCGCCGCCTTCCTAAAAAGAAAGAAGGGAGGAGAAGACGCAGGCGATTGGTCGAAACGTGTAGGAAAACACCAAACACCAGCCCAGGGCAGGGGTTCGGCGGGACCCGGCGGCAACTCTGGCCGGTCCTCAGGGGACAGGCTTCTCCAAGGCACCTAATGCCCCACTGCACGCCGCGCCCGCCGGGGCAGAACCTGGAGCACTACCGGTAACCTGAATAGGTGGTGTGCTTCGCTCTTTCTCTGCCCCACTAGGCCCAGAACAGAGGTGTGTTTAGCGTGAGGACTCCACCTAGGGTGGAGTTCCTTAAAAGGGACTAGTGGCCACTAGAGGAGAGCTGAGTAGGAGTGGGTGGAGATGTGTGGGGAGAGGAGGAGGAGGGAGGGAGAGAGGGGCGAGCCGGGCGGGGCCTTGGCGCTCCAAGCTGCCTAGCCCCGGCTGCCACCTCCCTCCATCTTTCGCTGCAGCAGGTAAAACTGAAGTGTTTCGGTTCATCCTTGGTCCCAGACAGGGGGTTTTGAGCACACTCTTCGGTCACTCATCCACTCAGATTAAGCGCTCTAGGGGACAGCTCTAGGGTGTGGTGATTAGGACTAAGGGATATCTAAGAAGAAAGGGATGGAGAACAGGAGAGTGAGAAAGCTAGTAACTATGAGCTGTTTGGTTTTTACCTTCCCAGGTCTCCATGGTAACATGACACTAGCAAGGACATCGAGGTCACAGTGTCTTCTTACTGATAAAACTGAGAGGAAAGGAGATTGGAGCTGGGTGCATATTCTAGCAATAGGTTAGAGGAGAAGGTGAGGGTAAAGGAGGGGTGGGTAAGATGGAGGAGTTGAAGATGAATTGCAAATACCATGGACCCAGGCTAGGAAAGTTGAGAAAGGCTTTCTCAGTTTCCCAGATACCAGTTCTCTAAGAACAGAGTTCTCAACCCCCTGAGACCGCCTCTCAGCCAAGCATTGGCTAAGATCCCTATGGAACTGAATCCAAAGGATAAAAGTCACATTTTCAGGATTCTTTGCCCTTGCCTTAAAGTCTTTCTCTAGCTCATTTTAATGGGAATCCAGGAAGTCACAGACAACTACAACCCTCTCCCCTTTCAGCAACTCTTCCCTACCACAATTCTTTTCATGGGGAGGCAAGAGAAGAGACAAGAAACAGAGGAGAGGAAGGGAGGCAACAGCAAAGCAAGAGAATAGGTACTACGTATGCAGCACCTAACATGGGCAGTTCGCTGAGCCAGGTACCTTTATGTTTATTATTTCTCCTTTATTCTTGATAACAACTCTATAATGTAGGTACCGTTATATTTTTTGTGCCTCCTTTAGCAAGCCCTGGTAATTGAATTCGGGGCCCTGTGTATTCTAAGCAAATCTTTGGTTGTTTTGTTTTCAGATACTTTCACTATGGAACTAGTGTTAAACTCACTATGTAGCCTAGGCTGGGCTCAAACTCACCAGCCTCCTGCCTCAGCCTCCTCAGTGCTGGGTTTACAGGTATGTTCTCTCATGCTCAGCTTCTTTGAAACAAGGAAACTGAGGGTCATAATTTATTATGTGCCCAACATGTATGCTTATTTGCTAGTTCTAGTTGAATGTCTTCTAAATGTCTCATTTTCCTTTCTTGCCCAATCTGTTCTTCCTCATGTAGTTCACCACACACCCAAACATTCAAGGCCTACTTCAGCACTCACCTTTCTGGTCCCTGCCTATGTCTCATGCAGCAGGGCTTTTGCTATGTACTGGTTCTTACCTGTATTCTAAATGCCTCGTTGATAATCCCAGGGATTTTCCACTCTCTATGCCTTGAGACACCTGATTTGTCTAAAGTATTTTGAAAGGACTAACTCCTCTCTATTTAATTCATTCAGGCAGAACCATTGCCTTTTTCACCTAGGGGTACTTATTTGCATTTGTAATAGATGTATTCTTAGTAACAATAGTTACTGAGCATTGACTGTGTTGAGCTCTGTTCTAAACCTCATTTGAATCCTTCTGACAGTGGTATAGGCAGGTATTATTACTATAATCACTTTTATGTGAAGAAAATGAAGGACAGAGATTATATGTACTTGCTACATGAAACAATGTCCCTGTAGTAAGGGTTTTATAAATGACTCCCTGTCTCAGTATGCCATATTTCTACCCCTGCCCAACTTACAAGGAAGACTTATTGACATGGAACCATACGGTATACATTTTTACATATTTTTGAAAAGGCGGTAATCTTATCCCTTGTTTGAAACTTTACATTCTTAATGTTTGAAATTTAGAGAGTATTGCTCAGTAAAGGACTTTCACTACTCTAGGGCTATTTTTAGCAAGGATGGGAAGTTTAGATTCAAGTGTATACAAGGATGTCAAATTGTTTATACCAAGGCTAATGCATTTTTGTGATGTGAAAAAATGAAGGTGATTAGATTTCTGTAGTAAAGTTTTAAACTCAGTAGCCACTAGAATTCCCTAGCTAGACTAGGTGCGTCCTTAGGTCATCATGACTGCCTTGTTCAATTTGGACAGGCTCCTTAAAAAGAAAAACCATTTATATTCTTGCTAAAAGTTTTCATGGTTATCTAATTTATTTTATGCCTTAGTTTTGTCTTCCTAGACTTTATTTATTTTTTAATATTTCATTCACTATTTTTATTTTACGTATATGAGTGTATAGCCTATATGTATGTAAGTGCACCCAAGTCATGCAATGCCCATGTAGTTCAGAAGAGGGCGTTGGTCCCCTGAAACTAGAGTTACAGATGGTTACTAGCTGCCATGTGGGTGCTGGGAACCAAACCCGGGTCCTCTGTAAGAGCAACTAATGATCTTAAACACTGAGCCATCTCTCTAGCCCCCTGCCTGGACTTTATTTGTACAGAGAACTTTGCATCAGATCCGCAAATTCAGATTTTGAAAAACACAATGTAAATTCTTAAACCTTGGGTAAGTAAACTTCAGATTCTTTCCCATCTATTCTTACACCCATTTAGTCAATAAAACATACTGAGAAGTTCCAAGCCAGCTGGGGCTACAGGGAGACCCTATCTCAAAAATACCAAAAACAAAACAAAACAAAAAAAGAAGCATGCTGAGTGTTAGGGGGAAAAATAAGAAACATCCATTCTCTCCTAGGAGCTCCAATGTAGGAGCCCTTGTTTCATCATACCCAGCCTATTAGTAGTGCACATTTTTCCTTTGAGTTTTTAGTCATGGCCTCAGTCTTTGTCAAATTAAGGCTCAAAGGTGACTCACAAAGAACTATGTACCTCAGGACCACAGTTAGTGGTAAAAACAGGACATTTCCTTGATATTCTTCTTTATTTTTCCATACTATGAATTGAACCCAGGGCATTGTGTATGCTGGGCAAGCACTCTACCACTGAGCTACACCCCAGCCCCATTCTTTACCACTTGCCATATCAAAAATCAGCATGGCTGATGGCGTGTCAGATGGAAGGCTGTGTGGAAGCAGACATGAAGAACTATTAGTTATAATAGTTGTCTTTTAGGAAGCATCACAAGCTTTTCTTTTCTAAGATGGCTTAAGCAATGAAGCAAATAGCAACCTGTAATAACTTCAACTTCTTCATTTTTACTCTAAGCCTAAGGGGGACTGACTGCTGGCAGAAGCGTCCTGAATTCTCTACATATTCAAAGAATCAAAGGAGGAAAATGAGAGTTCAATTACACATTGAACTCAACAAAAGATGACCAAGAAGCATGCAGGCTCCTAGGTCTTACAAAATGCTGTCCTTCTCTACCCTTCTTCCTCTTCATCCTCCTCCTTCTCTTCCTCCTTCAGAAAGTCAGCTGACAAACTAACAGGGTGGAGCCCAGATGAAGGCTGGAGGGAAAGGAAGAGAAAAAGCCTCAGTAAGAGGGCCCCACCCTCTCTGTTCCCAGTAGAACGATTTAAAAAGGCTTGAAGAGCTGGGGCTAAGGGGAAGGTGGGGCAGAAACTGGTGATGTGAGGAAGGGTGGAGACAAGGGAGGTGACTTAGGGGGCCATCAGGGTAGAACAGCCTACAGATTGGGAGGGGAAGTCAAGTATAAACAGAAAAATCTGCACCTTTATGTTACTGTTGTTCATGGGACAACAAAAATGTTGCAAAAACCAGTGCATAGCTCAGACCTAGTGGGAACAAACTTACCCTCCCCTGGTACATTTTTGCTCTGCAGTTCCCTGCAAATTCAGTTAGAAGGAGACCTTGTGCCTCCCTACTAGTGTTGAACCTTGACCCAGTGTTAAGCTCCTCCCACCTTGCACAGCACCAAGGTTACTGGCAGGAAAGGATAAGGATACTGGGGACAAGGGGTATCTATTTAGCTGAGAGGAGAAAGCCTGGAAAAAGATTGTGGAAAGAAGCTTAGTTTACGAACTGTAATCTTCAGCAAGTGCCGTCACATTTGTAAACACCTGTTTCATCACCTCTTTCTTTACAGAGATACTGTTGGTACTTCACAGAACTATCAAAAAGATTAAGACACAGAGGAGGCTTTGCAGTGACTAATGAATTTGCATTTTAGGGCCCTTTTCCAAGAATGTGAAGTGTTGAAATGTTTTTCTTCCCCCCCCCCTTTTTTTTTGACTTTGAGATAGGGTCTTACCGTAGTCCCAGCTGACTGGAACTCCAGGCTGGCCTTGAACTCACAAAGATCCACCTGTCTCTGCCTCCTGAGTGCTGGGATTAAAGGGGTATGCCACCACACCCGACTGAACTGTTTTTCTTAAATAAAGTCTCTATAGTCAATCAGCAATCAGACCCTACAAAACTTACCTCAGCGCTGGCTATAACCTCACCAGGGAAGCTCTCAAAAGTTACCTATTATTATTCTTAGCCATGGCACCTGTGAAATCTATGAACTTTGAATCACTTTGGCCACAGAAGAGGTAATGCCCCATGTTGTTTATATATACCCTA